AAAACCTCCTGGACGAGAATTAAACACAGAAAGAAGGTTAGAGGTTGAACAGGAATCACCTCAGTGAAGATGAGATCAGGGAGGGAGAAGAACCCCAAATCTCAGTAGAACAAAAAGGGCTGTGCAGAATAGAAGCATTTAGTGTCAACAGATAACGACACTGGCTCATCCAAGATCCTATTGGCTGACTATGGTAGATGTGAAGTGAAGGGATGGAGATGCGGGCTGCACCTCACGAGGAACGGAAGATCATTGGCATTATTGATTGGCCACCAGTGGTGTCATGAAGTACGACCTTTAGAGTGGGCGCCACGCACACCTGACCAGACCATTCTGTCTGCTAGGGGTTAGTTAGAGGAGGGAAGAGCCGAACTTAGAAAAAGAAGTTATGAAATGATTGAGTGATGAGTCGAGCGAGACTAAGTAGTTGTGAAGAATAACAACAAGAGAATTTGTTACCTTTCAGGAATGATAGCTAGGTACAAGGTGGAAGCAGACTACATAGCATTAAATTCGGGGAGAACGAAATTCATGTTGCTATCAGCTGAAGAAGCTAGCAGGTGTAGAGATGATACCCTGGGGACTTGTACCTCGTTGAGCCCTATCTATAAAACTGGTAACCGCAGACTGTGCATACTAGAATTGTTTGAAGGGAGGGGGGAAGGAATCAAAAGAATCTGCCAAGTAGAGGTATTAACAGGCTCGGCATTACCACAAGCTATCAGTGTTTCAGACGGGGTGTGGGCAGTAGCCACACAGAAACATATCAGCCTATCTAGGGTATGTGGGGGAGAGTCCACAAGGACATTAAGAATAAGGCCACCGTTATCCCTGGTGACGCTACCCATGGATGTTCGGGTGGTTGGGGTGTCCATCTCCTTGCCCCCTATTACCAGATGGAAGAAAGGTATGAAGAAAAAGATTCACTCATAGAGATGATTGGTAGAGGCTTAGTCAATTGTACAGAATTATGGGAGCCGATAGTGAAGAGATTCTCTAATGTTACCTTAAATAAGATGCCAGTATTAATGAAGCCAATAGAAAAGATCGATATGGATCACTTAAGAGATAAGTTAAGTGCGTTGGGAGACGAAGGTGTAGCTTGGGAAGACGATGAGCAGATCGCGATAAGTTGGTCAATAGTAATGGGTACATTCCTAGTTGTAGCCATCGGGGGGTGTAATAATATGGAAGATTAAGAGTAAGAGAAGGTTAGCGAACGACGGTCTGGTGAGCATGCAACAGCTCGAGAGGGAGATGCCGAGCGGTGTTCCTTACTCAGACAGGACTGGCGAAGAAATTGCTGAAAGACCAATGGAGGAGGCTGGCGTGAGACCACCACGTGCGGCGGAAAACCTCCACAGCAGAGAGAGGAAAACATTGACCAAGAAGAACAAACCCTAGTGAACACATCTGCACCTACAAACACACGCACACATTACCTTGCATGTAAAACAAAAGAAAATGAAAAAAGAACATTTCATTGCATGTAGAACAGAAGAAAAATGAAAAGAACATTACATTGCATGTAGAACAAAAAGAAAATGAAAAGAACATTTCATTGTATGTAGAACAGAAGAAAATGAAAAAGAACATTTCATTGCATGTAGAACAGAAGAAAATGAAAAGAACATTACATTGCCTGTAGAACAAAAGAAAATGAAAAGAACATTTCATTGCATGTAGAACAAAAGAAAATGGAAAGAACATTTCATTGCATGTAGAACAAAAGAAAATGGAAAGAACATTACCCTTGCATGTTAGAAAGTAGAATAGAATTGCATGAGACAAATGCATGGTGCATGTTAAATGATGTAATTGGGTTTAGGTGTCATTTACGGGCAAATGACAAATCGGTTAGGGAGGATTGTGGCACCTTGCATTATTAGAAATATTCATAGAAATATGATTTAATTTTTCTTACTCGGTTACTAAACAGGTTGTTGATTTTTTTTTTAAAACGGAAAATAACTGAGTTGAAAATAATTCACTAAGATTGTACTAGACGATCTTAAGGAAGAAGAAGGAAAAAAAAAAAAAAGAAAAGAAAGAAGAAGAGAGAAAAGAGTTGTATGATGCATGACCCAATTGAGGTGGAGATAGAGTCAGAAAGAGATTTAGGTCAGCGTCTTGGCGATTTGAAAGACAATTGGAAGAATAAATTATAAATAATAAGAAGAAAGAAAGGAAAAAAGACATGATATCAAAAACGGGCCGCTGATGTAGACCAGATATCGTCAAAGCATCTGACCGACTTTTGCGTGGAGAGACTTTTTATCAATTTGGTTTAGAACAATAGAAATGAAATTTTTAATCAGAGAAAAGTGTTTTTGGGTTGAGGGGAGTTACGGTGGAGCGATATACAGATCTTGACCTGTTAAGAATTGGACACCCACGTTAATAAAGTAGAGACATTTCAATGTAGATAATTAAGATTTTCGACTATCAGGAAAAACAAAGAGGTAAAAAAGAGGGACAATTGCTTTTGGCTCACAGAGGGCGCCAAGAAGGCGGAAAAGATCCTTTCTAAAGTCAAGACTAATTAGCAGCGGGCTGTTTGACAAAGTCCAGGTGAGAGAAAGTTAAAGATTGTCATTTTGCATGCACGTGCAAAAGGAAAAAATTGTTTTTTTTTTTTTTTTTAAACAAGAACGATGTAACCACGCCCGCAAACAGAGGGGAGAGGATGTTCGATCAATAACAATTGGTCGAATACGATCACGTGACCTGCGGAAGAAAAAGGAAAAATGTTCGACCAATAACAATTGGTCGAATACGATCACGTGACTTGCGGAAGAAAAGGGAAAGAAATGCTCGATCAGGAGCGATTGGTTGAAAGCGGTCACCTGACATACGAGAGACTAAGAGAGATGGATGGATGTCGCCCCACCAAAGGTACTGCGAGAAAGTAGGGCGAAAACAATAGCGATAATGGAAAGACAGAATTAATGCAGTTTTTGGAATTATCGAGAAAACCCTGACGCCGACAGACCCACCCCAGTTTGTTCTTGGCGTCAATAAAAGCAGGGCCCCAATCGACAGAAAAATGAGTTCATCCCGGAGTTGGGCTGAGGCAGCAGGACGGCAGGAAAAGAACCTCAGACAAGAAGAACTTCCAGCCCAAGTAGATGAAGAAGAAGATTGCCTGAAAGCCTGAGAAGAATTGGAGCTGCAGACAAGAAGAAGTCGATGAGAAGTTAAAGTTCAGCTCCGGACGGAAGTGAGAAGAGACCACCTCAGGCGACAGAGAGTTGCGGCTAAGTTGAAACAAGAAATCTTCCACCAAGTTGAAACAGGAAAACTACCAGCCCAAGCAGACGAAGAAGAAGAAATACAACTCAAGTCGGGAGAAGAAGAATCAACTGCGAATGATCGATAGAAATTAGGCCCCAGTGTCGAACTGAACACACTCCGACAGACATACATGATTCTAGAAAGAAGAAATTCGACATTTTTCTATTGTGTGATAGAAGCTTGGTGCCATAGTCCACAGAGCCGGTCGGGAAATGAGAACACTTTTGTTTTATGTAACGGGACTTTAAGATATAAAAGGTTGTTACCCTTTTTATCAGCAATTTTGTTTGTGTCGTGAGTTTTATTTTATTTGTGTTTTGCCACCCCGTCGGACTCAACTTGTATCGAAGTTGATCCCTGCTGGTCCCGTCTGTCTAAGATCTAAACACAGCGAAGAAGACAGACCGGAGATCGCTAGAAGTTGCTTTAGTGACCAGGTATTGAGCTGCGCAGTCGGGAAAGGCGAGGCTGGTGATCATCTGACCAAAAGGGTGCAGCGAACGCTTGGACCCAGGAGGAGCGACCAGGAGGAGCGACGTCACCGTTGGCGCCGTAACCAAAGGATCCGACACTGGGCCAGGTGTGTAACCGTCACAATAAGATAAAGAGTTCAATTCAAAATTTCATGAATGTTACCCAGATTGACAAGGACCTAATGAAGGCCGTATGGCAAAAATGACTGAAATGTTGTTTTAATAACACCAAAAATGAGATCAATAGTCTGCATGTAAATAATGTTAACTCTTCATCCCTGGAATTCAAACAGAAACTGAAACCTTGTCTATGCATGCTGGATTTAAATGAAGTTGGCACTAAAAATACAATCATTGTTTCATTTTTATTTATCACCTGAATATTTATTTCTTTATTTGTAATCATTAGAATACATGTAAGCTTTGACCTATTTATTAAATCCTACCTGTGATATCACAACTCATGTAAATAACTCATTAGGTTATGATACACCAGTGCTACTTAGTCAAAATCTAGTTTGTTTTGAATGAAAAATCCTACGTCTGATTGAGTGACTATTAGGCCTCAAACTCAACCCAGACCTCAAGTGGAACTTGTACATATGATCCATCACTAAAGATGCAGGAAAACTGGTCGGTTCCTTGTACCACTCCAGTAAGTAACTGACTCCTCATGCTATTGTCTACCTTTATAAGACCCGGATCAGGCCTTAGAGTGCTAATGTAATCTTCAGGCAAGAGTCTCAATAGAGTCCAAAAGCATGTCTGTGTCCTTGTGGGTGACAAATTATTTTCCACCCTGCAACTTCTTTCTCACAGATGAGACATCACAAGCCTCTCACTGCTCTCCCATGACTTCCATGGAAAGTGGTTAGATGAACTACATTCCTTAGTTCCAACAGTTCTGTCATGGATAAGACCCACTATGCCATGCACATTGTAGCAAACCACTCATTCCATATTCTACCCAAGCTGCTTCTTCCTGCAAACCACTGCTCCCAAGAGGATGTTTTCCCAATCACTACAATCCTAATCTGTTCAAGTCTAGGGTTAACCATTACCTTCCCCACCTATCCACATAAACTGTGCCTCTTACATGGTAACATTCTACCTCAAGTAACTCCCAGGCCTTCTACAAGGTGAACCTCAATGTAAAAAAAACAAAAAACACACAGGATTACAGTAAATTAAAATCTTAAAATCCTAAAATCAGAAAAAATGAAAAGAACTTACTGTTTTTTGTCTTTTGCATAAATCTGTTTGCAAATTTCTTTGGTGATATTCCTAAGTTTACCAATATAGGCTGACATCTCAGACACATTGAGGTACCGGGGGTTGTTATGATGCAAATGTTGAGCCAAGAAGTTTATGGGGTTGAAATTGGGGCAGACATTGTTATTCTTTGTCAGCTGCCGAAGCTCAACTTCTTGGAGTAATCTTTCAATGCTGACAATCAATGTTGGCATCAGTAGTTCAATTGTAGATCCCTCATCTTTCAAAACATTCCAGAGACGATGTCCAGAAAATATTCTTGTGGGAATTTCGGAAGCCAATGTCAACATATAACTTTTCTCGACTGTGGCATTCGGCGCAAAGCTTCTTGCAATAAGTCTCTGCATCAGGTGTATTGTGGGATCAGTTTCATCAGAACCAAAGAAGTCATGATTGCCTGACTCAGAAAGCATTTTACTCATCATCTGGTCAGAAATTACAGTTTTAATTGTTGTTGTATGTATGTGTTGTTGATAATGAATCAATTCAAGATAAGCTGCATCAAGTGACAAAAAATCAATCAAATGACAACTGAAATCAAAAAATGAATAAATTTTTAATGATATTACTTGTAATATTAACACTAAAGACATCACAAAGATTAATAAGAATCACATGATACATTTGACTTACATGTACTATATAATATAATAAATATTTAAAAGATATTGCAATCAAGACATTTTAATATTTTAATCTTTTGCCTTCCTCAAGACATTAAATAACCCATTTCCTGAAGACAAGGATCTGTTCTATCCCTTCTTAGTAATTAATAAAGATAATAACCAAAGAGATTTTTCCTAGATGTAGTCTTTTTAATCTTTGCCTTCCTGAAGACATTAAATAACACATTTTAAGGATCTGTTCTATTCCTTCTTAGTAATTAATAAAGATAATAACCAAAAAGAGAGATTTTCCTAGATGTAGTCTTTTAATCTTTTGCCTTCCTGAAGACATTAAATAACCCATTTGCAAGGATCTTTTTCTATTCCTTCTTAGTAATTAATAAAGATATTAACCAAAGATCGAAAAAGAGAGATTTTCCTAGATGCAGTCTTTTAATCTTTGCCTTCCTGAAGACATTAAATAACATTTGCAAGGAACAGTAATTTGCAAGAGATTTTCCCAGATTCTTTTTTAATCCCCATTCTTTGCAAGTAATTAATAAAGATAATAACCAAAGCAGAGATTTTCATAGATGCAGTCTTTTTAATCTTTGCCTTCCTGAAAGACATTAAATAACCCATTTGCAAGGATCTTTTCTATTCCCTTCTTAGTAATTCTTAGTATTTTTCCTAGATAGTCTTTTAAAAGACATTAAAACCAAAAAGAGATTAAGTAATTAATAATGCAGTCTTTTTTGTCTTTTAATCTTTTCCTGAAGACATTAAATAACACATTTGAAAGGATCTTTTCTATTCCTTCTTAGTAATTAATAAAGATAATAACCAAAGAGAGATTTTCCTAGATGCAGTCTTTTAATCTTTGCCTTCCTGAAGACATTAAATAACACATTTGCAAGGATCTGTTCTATCCCCTTCTTAGTAATTAATAAAGATAATAACCAAAAAAGAGAGATTTTCCTAGATGCAGTCTTTTTAATCTTTGCCTTCCTGAAGACATTAAATAACACATTTGCAAGGATCTTTTCTATTCCTTCTAAGTAATTAATAAAGATAATAACCAAAAGAGAGATTTTCCTAGATGCAGTTTTTTAATCTTTTGCCTTCCTGAAGACATTAAATAACACATTTGCAAGGATCTTTTCTATTCCTTCTAAGTAATTAATAAAGATAATAACCAAAAAGAGAGATTTTCCTAGATGTAGTTTTTTAATCTTTGCCTTCCTGAAGACATTAAATAACACATTTGCAAGAGATCTGTTCTATCTTAGTTTTAAAGATAACAACCAAAAAAGAGAGATTTTTCTTAGTAATTAAATAAAGGATAATAACCAAAAGAACTCAAAAGATTTTTCCTAGATGCAGTCTTTTAATCTTTGCCTTCCTGAAGACATTAAATAACACATTTGCAAGGATCTTTTCTATCCTTCTTAGTAATTAATAAAGATAATAACAAAAGAGAGATTTTCCTAGATGCAGTCTTTTTAATCTTTTGCCTTCCTGAAGACATTAAATAACACATTTGCAAGGATCTTTTCTATTCCCTTCTAAGTAATTAATAAAGATAATAATAAAAAGAGAGATTTTCCTAGATGCAGTTTTTTTAAGACATTTGCCTTCCTGAAGACATTAAATAACACATTTGATGCAAGGATCTTTTCTATTCCTTCTAAGTAATTAATAAAGATAATAATAACCAAAACCAAAAGAGAGATTTTCCTAGATGTAGTCTTTTTAATCTTTTGCCTTCCTGAAGACATTAAATAACACATTTGCAAGGATCTTTTCTATTCCCTTCTTAGTAATTAATAAAGATAATAACCAAAGAGAGAGATTTTCCTAGATGTAGTCATTTTTAATCTTTGCCTTCCTGAAGACATTAAATAACACATTTGCAAGGACATTTTTCTATTCCTTCTTAGTAATTAATAAAGATAATAACCAAAAAGAGATTTTCCTAGATGAAGTCTTTAATCTTTTGCCTTCCTGAAGACATTTTAACACATTTTGCCTTCTATTCCCTTCTTAGTATTTAATTAAATAATACACATTTGAGATTTTCCCAGATGTAGTCTTTATTTGCCCCTTCTTATTTGCAAATTAATAAAGATAATAAAGATAATAACCAAAAAGAGAGATTTTCCTAGATGCAGTCTTTTAATCTTTGCCTTCCTGAAGACATTAAATAACACATTTGCAAGGATCTTTTCTATTCCTTCTTAGTATTTAATAAAGATAATAACCAAAAGAGAGATTTTCCTAGATGTAGTCTTTTAATCTTTGCCTTCCTGAAGACATTAAATAAACACATTTGCAAGGATCTTTTCTATTCCTTCTAAGTAATTAATAAAGATAATAACCAAAAAGAGATTTTCCTAGATGTAGTCTTTTTTAATCTTTGCCTTCCCTGAAGACATTAAATAACACATTTGCAAGGATCTTTTCTATTCCCTTCTTAGTAATTAATAAAGATAATAACCAAAAGAGATTTTTCCTAGATGCAGTCTTTTAATCTTTTGCCTTCCTGAAGACATTAAATAACACATTTGCAAGGATCTTTTCTATTCCCTTCTTAGTAATTAATAAAGATAATAACCAAAAGAGAGATTTTCCTAGATGTAGTCTTTTAATCTTTTGCCTTCCTGAAGACATTAAATAACATTTGCAAGGATCTGTTCTATTCCCTTCTTAGTAATTAATAAAGATAATAACCAAAAAGAGATTTTCCTAGATGCAGTCTTTTAATCTTTGGCCTTCCTGAAGACATTAAATAACACATTTGCAAGGATCTTTTCTATTCCCTTCTTAGTAATTAATAAAGATAATAACCAAAAGAGAGATTTTCCTAGATGTAGTCTTTTAATCTTTGCCTTCCTGAAGACATTAAATAACACATTTGCAAGGATCTTTTCTATCCCTTCTTAGTAATTAATAAAGATAATAACCAAAAGAGAGATTTTCCTAGATGTTAAGTCTTTTAATATTTGCCTTCCTGAAGACATTAAATAACACATTTTGCAAGGAGTCTTTTCTATTCCTTCTTAGACATTAAATTAATAAAGATAATAACCAAAAGAGATTTTCCTAGATGCAGTCTTTTTAATCTTTGCCTTCCTGGAAGACATTAAATAACACATTTGCAAGGATCTTTTCTATTCCTTCTTAGTAATTAATAAAGATAATAATCTTGCCTTCCTGAAGACAAGGAGAGATTTTCCTAGATGTAGTCTTTTAATCTTTGCCTTCCTGAAGACATTAAATAACACATTTGCAAGGATCTTTTTCTATCCCTTCTTAGTAATTAATAAAAGATAATAACCAAAAAGAGATTTTCCTAGATGTAGTCTTTTAATCTTTGCCTTCCTGAAGACATTAAATAACACATTTGCAAGGATCTTTTCTATTCCTTCTTAGTAATTAATAAAGATAATAACCAAAAAGAGAGATTTTCCTAGATGCAGTCTTTTAATCTTTGCCTTCCTGAGACATTAAATAACACATTTGCAAGGATCTTTTCTATCCTTCTTAGTAATTAATAAAGATAATAACAAAAAGAGAGATTTTCTTAGATGTAGTCTTTTCAATCTTTGCCCTAGATAAAATAAGTCTTTTAATCTTTTGCCTTCCTGAAGAAGACATTAAATAACACATTTGCAAGGATCTTTTCTATTCCCTTCTTAGTAATTAATAAAGATAATAACCAAAAAGAGATTTTCCTAGATGCAGTCTTTTAATCTTTGCCTTCCCAAGACATTAAATAACACATTTGCAAGGATCTTTTCTATTCCCTTCTTAGTAATTAATAAAGATAATAACCAAAAGAGAGATTTTCCTAGATGCAGTCTTTTAATCTTTGCCTTCCTGAAGACATTAAATAACACATTTGCAAGGATCTGTTCTATTCCCTTCTTAGTAATTAATAAAGATAATAACCAAAAGAGAGATTTTCCTAGATGCAGTCTTTTAATCTTTGCCTTCCTGAAGACATTAAATAACACATTTGCAAGGATCTTTTCTATTCCCTTCTTAGTAATTAATAAAGATAATAACCAAAAGAGAGATTTTCCTAGATGTAGTCTTTTAATCTTTGCCTTCCTGAAGACATTAAATAACACATTTGCAAGGATCTGTTCTATCCCCTTCTTAGTAATTAATAAAGATAATAACCAAAAAGATTTTTTCCTAGATACAGTCTTTTTAATCTTTGCCTTCCTGAAGACATTAAATAACACATTTGCAAGGGATCTTTTTCTATCCCTTCTTAGTAATTAATAAAGATAATAACCAAAAAGAGAGATTTTCCTAGATGTAGTCTTTTAATCTTTGCCTTCCTGAAGACATTAAATAACACATTTGCAAGGATCTTTTCTATTCCCTTTAGTAATTAATAAAGATAATAAACAAAAGAGATTTTC